GTCGTGGCTTGTGCAAGCATGAATGAGGAATTTTGCATGCTCCGAACAGAGTCTTTTTCTTAATAAGGCATTATATTGGGCCGATAATTTATTTGGGCCCAACCTTGGATTTTTGGTCCTCAACACCCCCAAACTCAGCAGCTGCGGGCCCCTATCCCAACCTCCCCCACCCTCATCCTCAGCCGTAGCTAGCGCAGTCCCTTGTCCTCACCTAAATAGATCGAACAAACAAAATCATAAACAGACCCAACCCACACCATGATGTTTAGCACCTAAACAAACCCAACAAGCAAAATCATAATAAATTTAAAAAATCGATCTGGGTATTTTAATTCAACCAAAATTCAAACTTTTTCAATCCTAGGAATGCATCTTCTTTCTTTCTTTCTTTCTGGGTTTTTTTTAATTCGTTTTCTTCTTGTTCTGGTTTTGGTTCCACAAAGAAAGAAAGAAGGGGTTTTTAAGAGAGAGAGAGAGAGAGAGAGAAGGTTCTGGAGGGTGGGTAGGGGTCGGGTACGAATTAGAACCGCAACAATGTCTTCTCCTATCTTCTTCAGGGAGAGATCCAAAGGACCGATCTTGGGTCGAACGTTGGAAGCATGGCTTCTTCGATGGTGCTCTGGGTTAGGGTTTTGGAGGGAGTCCATAACCCATACTTGGCGGACTAAGGGACATGGAAGCTCCATGCCTAGCAGATTGGGGTCTTTCCTAATTTCTCATTTCATCAATCTCCCAATACTTAAATCAATTCACCAACCAACACCCTCAAATCCCAATTTCTCATTGTCTAAGCAGCCGGACCATGATGATATATTGGCTGGTAATAGTGCTCTGGATATGATTCACAAGGTGGTGGGGAGTAGGATGGGTGATGCGTGCGCGCGCGCGGGGGGAGATATATATTTTTTTTCTTTTCAATTTTAAGATTTTTTTTATTTGTCTTTAATATTTATTTTTATAATGAATGAATTTTTTAATAATTTGTGGGCCGAATTGTCCCTCCAAAACTAACCGAAGTTAAAAAAAAATTGATGGAAATTGAGGATTGTCCTTCAATTGCTTCAAATTGAAACCACAGGATAAAATTGACAAAATTGAAATGACAGAGGCCAAAGTAGTAAAAGTGGCAAATTTTAGGGACCAAAATTGTCTTTTAGGTCACGTATAAATAAAATTAATGAGTAATTTCTAACAAGAACGTCTGGGTGGTGTAGTCGGTTATCACGCTAGTCTCACACACTAGAGGTCCCCGGTTCGAACCCGGGCTCAGACATTTTGCTACTGCTATATTATAGTATTTTTTTAACTGGCTAAGCTTGGTCGCCATCCGCCAACTAGCTTCTCTCCCCACATATGCACCACCACCGAGATGCTCTTTCTTGTCCCAAAATCTGTGACATATTTTCCCCTCTCTCTCTCTCTCTCTCTCTGTGTAAATGTAACCTACTTATCTATATATTCATCGTTAAATTTACCAAATGAATTCTTCCACTAGCCGGACTCGGATTCATTTTGCTGTGTGATTATGATTTACAATTTTGTTTTCTTTGAACCAATCTGTTTGTAGACCGTTTGTTGGATGTGAATTACGCCCATCTACTTATTGGTGTCTATGGTTGCTTGTAGGAGCATGTTATGTTACAACGGCAATTGACACCAATTTGGGCTTAAAATTATGTGCAGAAATGTCGCATGTAAAGAAGAAAAAGGTATGGCATGAATAGAAACTAATTTGGTTTCGTAAGCTTCGTACTTCAATTTTTCTGATGGAGTTCTGTAAGTGATTTTGTGGCAATGATATTGTCCCGTCTTGTTTCATGCAGTAGGGCATTGACAAATTAAAATGCACCTATCTTCCATCATGTGACTAACTCAAATAAACCAAATGCAATGTATGCAAGCCTTTAGTGGGGCAATGAGCCATGGGGTCGGAGGGCAAAAACTTTCTTCTTGTATTCAAATACGAACCATCCAGAACCTTAAACCCTACAACATGTGTACGGAAATTAACTGATCTAGGTTCATTTTAGATGAAAAGCCTCCTTCAGACAAACTTGCATTGTAGCCAAGGAAATAGTGCCCTCTTATTCAAACGGACAATATCAGCACCAAAGGATCAGCAGGGGATCCGCTTATTTGGGTAAGGTCAGTCACAAGTATTAAAGCACCTGGCAAGATACCTTTCTGCCTGAGAGGACTTATCGTCAACTACAGAAAACACACTTTCTCTTCTCGTTCCGTGCCTGAGCCATAATAGTTGCTAACCTATTGAATCTTTTTGAAATTTAACTCTCCTAAGAAAACTATAAGATTGCAACTTTGCACTATGCCAAGTCACCCATCATCTCTAACGAAATGTCAAGCACAACATCACAAAAGGAACTAAACACAACCTTATGAATCCAAAGAATGCCTCTGTCGAGCGAAAAACAGCCTCTAACCTAGAACATAAACAGACTTTTTAATACCCACTAGGAAAATGAAGTGAGCAACGAGGACAGTGTATTATTTACCATCTTGTAGCAAACTATCCACGAAATGCTCCTTCTTGGGGCATTTCTCAGATTCAAAGGGGAAAGGTGCAACCTTTGCATTAGCAAATTAAGCATTTGATGTGTGAAAAGTTTCTACAAACTAATGTTTGATACAATGTTGAGAAAAGTCTCTGCTTAAAAACGCGCACTGGCTTTATTAAGAACTGCGGTGAACAGCAGTCTAAGGACCATACCCATTCTTATTGACCAGGGCAGGTCAGCGAGATTATTGAATAACCACAAAGAAATAGTTTGACCATTTGTTCAATTATCGAACCACAACCTCTCTGACCATTTAGATTTTTAAGCGGACTTCGTGAAATAGCTAACTGCTTTGAATGGCTGTTAGGAACACTCAAAACATATCACTCATGAAATGTAGGAAGGATCTTGAGAAATCTGAACTACTACCTAGAATACAGGTGTGTGCGGATGTTTAAGATACATCATGGAAGTGAACCAATTATTCTACTGTCTTAAAAAAGATTGAATGTAAACTAATAATTCCTGACTTAGGTATAAGGCACCACGCCAAAATCGAATTCTATCTATCTGGAAAACACTCAGCTTATGCCATACCATTAATGAATGCTCTTGAAAAATACCTAAATCTCGTATGGTATGGCCAAGGTGCACAATAACTTCACTACTAAATGTACTCATTGAAGCAATATGCATCAAGAAGCAACTGTAGATATGAGAAGTAATGATATAATTAAAGCAATAAACTGAAATTAACAAAATTTATCCAGTAAAGCATGTAAATTAAATGTATTAAGTCAACCTAATCCTTGTATATTATGAAGGGAAATGTACAAAATTCGAAAGAGCAATTCCATTACATATGTCAATTTCCTATACAAATTACTTACATAAACTCATTGGCCCCGAATGGTGTTGTCGAGAACCAACCTCAATCTCTGAGACAATACATCCAACTCAGCAAGCCGTTGGAGCTGCCATTGCCGCTCGAAGTCCAGTGCAGTCTTGCCTTTATTGGAGGAACATGAGCCAGAGCCAGAGCCCGAGACCGAACCAACATGGTCGGGGCAGAGCAGACAATGTTGAACAAGAACCATCCGAACTTCATTCAAAGACTGATCGAACACGTCCAAAACAGCCTTCGCCGCCAGCCCAGCAATGGGCCTAGACAAATTGATCATCTTCACCTCATCGCCATAATCATTTTCCACAAAAAGATTATCCAAAACACTCTGATTCTGATTCACCATTAAATTATCATCACCCTCGTCGCTCTTGGCTTTGTTACCAAACGGAGAAGTGGACCAGCACTCGGAGCTCCAAAGCTTCCTCGAGAGGTCGTACAAGGCGCGATCATGCGGCGAAAGCTGCGACTCGTGGAGGCCGCGAGCGAGCCGAGCCGAGACGACTCGGAACTTTTTCCGGAAGCGGCGGAGCTTCTCAGAGAGCTGGGATTTGGTGTATTGCTGAGACACGGTGGTGGAGAATCGTGCGTAGAAGAGGTGAAGGTCTTTGGGGAACGAGAAGCCATCTGAGGCGCAGTCAAGGAGGCCTTGGAGGAAGAGAACCTCGTCGGGCTCGGTCCAGATTCGGTGGTACTTAAACGGCGGGGTTCTCTGCCCCTCTTCTGCGGAAAAAACGACGGCGTTGTAGTCGTATATGGCGGTGGATTCGAGGTTTGGGGGGAGAAGATTTGGGTTAGGGTTGGGGATGTGGTCTGGGTTTTTGCGTTTAATGGGGAGCTTGGTAGCGGAGGAGGGTTTAATTGAGTCCATGGCTAGATTTGGGGGTAGAGTTGGCTACGGAATAATATTTGGGGTTTGGGTTGGGTGTGGAATGGGTCAGTGCTCATTGTGCCGTGGCTGATTTGTTGGTTTCTTTCTTTTTAATACGTAGTCTTTACTGCAAGGGGAGACGAGTTTTTCGTTTTTCACACACGCATGAATATACTATAAGGGATGAGAGTTTTTCACATGCCACGAACATTCAGATCAGATTGAAGTCGTTTTCACTGGGCTAAAAGATAGGTTCTTCTACTCTCAAAATTCAATTAATTGATTTCACTGTTCTTTTTTTCATTAGAGATTGATTTCATGTCTTTAGTATATTAAATTGATATTTTCAATTCATAAATCAACATTGTTGAAAACCTAGTTAGTAAATTCACGGATACTTTCGTTTCTCTGTATGCTTTTTAAAGATAAAGTAAAAAGCCAAGGAACTTATAGTTCAAGTGATTATGTTTTCCTGTGTTTAACACTAACGACGGGGAAGATCAACAAGAGCATAAGATTTGAAGCGCCTAACATTATTCGCCAGAGTTTTTTTTAAAATGTTTTGCTTTATGAAAATCCCTTAATAACGTTGAACTCTAGGCGCACATTTATCAGCTCAAGTTTTTAGATTATTTTCACAACTAACAACTGAAATTTGGGAAGATCACCTCCAATCTCTGCTTTAAGTTGTGAAGGGGACAAGAATGGCTAGAGCCTCAACTATATTAACCTACATTGTAAGAAAAATGGCATATTACAAACAACCTGAGTAGCATACAAAATTTACAAGGGAAAAAAATTAATGGCCAAGCATCTATTGGACGCTTCGGTGCTACAAGAAAAAAAAAAAAGAGCTATCTCCAGACTTGTTAAATCGAAGCCAAGTTCACTGCACATTGATCCTTTAGATGCTAATAAATTGCTGTCAAAATAATGTTGGCCAACCTCAATACTGCACAGTGCAGAAGATGCAAATCCCATATGGATCATGGGATATATCCAATCAAAATGGAGGATGGGATCACAAATGGTCTGATTATGTAACCACAACCGTTGATTGGAGTAAAGCTAAACGATTTTTGGTGAGAGTAATCTTCTCTTCTGTTTCTGCCGCCTTTTCTTGGACTCCACGGACAATATCCTCAGGAGCTTTCTCTACAAACTGCATGAGCAAAAGACGATATCGTGACAAGAATTTAACTAAGAAGCCAACTCCAAACCACTTTAACCTTTTTACTATAAAACTAACAAAACTATCAGATGATGGATTTATCGAACAGCCAGAATTGAAGTCTGCATTTTTCCATAAGTTACAGTTATCCTCTTAAGAGAACCATTGTATAGGTAGCTTTTCATATCTAATTATTCCAAATACATCTTACCTAATGCTTTAGGTTTTATTGAATTTTTGTTAATTTTTAACAAATTACCCCTATTATCAAATCTAAATCCAATCGTTTAGCTGAATGGATACTTAGAGAAATTGAAATGTAAAGTACTCTCCCCTGCAAACCAAACCCAAGTGCTTAAACATTAGTAAACAGAATTCATACCTTAGGAGAGCTGAGCCGAGCTTTAAGTCCATCATATTCTGTCTGCATCTTGGAAAGTCTCTTAGATAGGCGTTGGATTTCGGCAGTAATGTCAATCATATCAGCAAGAGGGAGATATGCCTCTAGTCCTTCACCAGCTACAAGGTGGACTGATTGATCCGCATTCCCTGAAGTAAAATACATGGCATCCACCAAAATATATGGCTCAACATCAGATCATAGAAAAAGCCATTGATAAATGAAAGTAAACATGAATATTTCTGTCCCTTGGCCAAATGGAAAATAATCCATAAAGAAACGTGCCTGGAGGAGAATCTGTAAAATGGATGCTTTGCAAATCTAGCCTGGAGAGAAGTGCTAAAACTTCCTTTTCTTTCTGCATCAAAATAGAATATTTAAGTTAGCTAGTGCTAATGATAATTATGTCCAAACCAAATAATTGGATAAATAGTTGAGTCAACCCAAGTTAAAATTGTTGGAAATGGCCCTGCGACAGCAAGTATGCACGGAATATACAAGAAAAACATATATGAATTGAAATAATAAACTTATCAAAAGAAAAGACAGAACAACTAGTCATCTCGATTTCTTTTTCTCTAAACTAAGGGTTTCCCTGTAAAAATTGAAATCCAAGCTCATCCGCGTGCCTTTCCTTTTGTTGCTGATGAGACTTCAGGCACACGGACTCTCCAAGATTATACGTAAAACTTAATGCTTAACAAATTAAACCCAAGCCCGACTCTTTTTGCTCTAGCAGGGCCATGACCTGGCCCATAATAGTCTAGTGGGGGCATGGACAGCTTTATGATATGATTCAGTCTATGGCTCAAGAATGATTCAGTCTATGGCTCTATACTTACTTAAGGTTCGAATAATGATCCACCAATTCGTTACACCCTGAGTTTATTTATTTCGTTCTCACAAAAGTGCAAAATAATACAGAAACAAAGTTGAAAAGCACCTCATCAGCTCTTACATTTTAATCTTATGCAAAATCATGGCTGGAGAAATGGATACGTACCACTATGTACTCAGTGACTTCTTCATTAGCAACTATTGAGGCTGATATACGCTTTACAGGCTCAACAGAATATTCTGCTCGAGCATTCCGGATGGCTCTAGTCTAAGAAACACAAAGAAGCAAACTTTAGTGAAGACAAAGGAGAGAGAAATTTTTTAAAAGAAGTCAAAATGGACAAAATTGCCCTTATTTATTTTTGAATTTCCTAAGGAATCCTTTACATTTGCATGTCTTTGATTTGAAAGTTGAAAGGTTTTTCTGTCCTTTTTGAAAAAGCTTTGGCTTTTTTCAAAAGTGATTTTTTTTTTTTTTTTGTTGCTAAAACCTAAATTTACTTTTAATTATCCACGTTGACTGACTACATGGAAAAGATACAAGAGATCTAAAAGTGACAGCTAGACTTGGATGTGGAGCCAATAAAGGAGAACCAGGAAGAAAGATTTACTCACCAGAGCCTGTAAATTTTCAAACTTCTTAATCGAGTTGCTCTTCCTTGGAAGTGAAGTCAGTGGCCATGGTGATATTATAAGAGCTTCTTTTCGATATGGGAGTGCCTATATTAAATCAACCATTCATTTTATAATGGAAAATAGAGAAACATTATAGTTAACAGTACAATGGAGGTGAAAACAGAGAAATCTAAATTGAAAGCCTACACTTAAGAGTTAACTATCATCGCAAAAAGAAGCTAAAAGAGAATCTATCCACATGAATAAAAACATAACCATGCCTAAATTTGTCTTGTGAACAGGCAATGTTAAAGACGTGATCCACTTTCCCCTATATTTAGCACAGAACACACCAATGTGGAGATAAGCATTCAAGGGACTTTCTTCGTAGCAATTAACAGCTATTTAACTTCCCATGAAATATTAAACAAGTGAAAACTTGCAACTTAGTGGGAACACCAGCCTTCCGATCATCCTAATTGGCTTAAATGTGAGGTCCAATGGATTATGTATCAACCATTTTCATGAAAAATTACCCAAAGAATGTCTGGACCAAGATATATTGCCGCACTGGCTCTGATTCCAAAGACCCATAATTTATTTGAGACAGCAAATATGATAAATCTTTGAGCTCTAAGTCATTCAAATTCCTTCTAAATTGCAAAATCCCAAGAGAGATCCTAGAAGGAGAATGAGATATTATGGAAGAGATGACATCATAGTGGTTCAAGGATATGACATATAAGCCGAGAAATAAGATAGAAATGACAACTCTGCGAACCAAACATCTTCCAAAAACCTAAATCTATTCCAATTCGCAACAACCAGTTTTAATAAATGAGTAGAGGAAAAAGAATCCCGTGAAATGAATTTCTGAGGACTTCAGAGACACCAAAAATCCTACATATTAGGTATATCATATATGATTATTCTCCATACTAAATTATTCTGCATGTAATTATGAATTCTTCCTAGGCAATTTTTCTTGTACGTAATCTTAAGGAGAAGAATAACCTAAGACAATTATCTCCATTCCTTCCCGGTAAAAATCTTTATATGGTTCATGGAGAAACAAAATCACGATTTTTTTTTTTCCATTTAACAAATGAGCCTAAAGAAACCAACAAGGACCTTTTAGGTAGAGAAGTTGAGTTCCACACAAGTGTTGAATACCGTAAATCAATTTACCTGCCAGAGCTCCTCAGTCACAAATGGCATGAAGGGGTGTAGCAATTTAAGTATGTTTTCAAAAACATACAACAGAACTGCCTGTGTGACAGAAGCAACTGAATCACCACTGGAGTGGTAAAGATGAGCTTTACTGGCTTCAATATACCTACATAAGTGAAAGAAATTAACAGTTGGCAAACAGGAACATCAGTACATTTGAGTTAGCAGAAGGTATTAACAAAAAGATTTTTTTTTTTTTTAAAAGGGCTAAAATTCTTTTTTCCTTTTTTTGTTTAATAAGAATCACACTTCCAATGATAAAATAGAACAGTACACTACAGGGGACAAGCTGTCCACTAGTCTAGCTAGGCTACGCAAAAAAGAGCTAGACCTCATAATATGACATGACAGCAGACAACTACTCCAATCATAAAATAGACTGATAGTTAAACTCTTAAGAAACGAAGCCCAAAGGGAACCCGAAAAATGAACTCATCCCACAAAAGACCCACCTCCACATCCCTTGCTACCACAAATATTAAGAGTTCGAACTTCTTGAAACAAATATAAATATCCAAACAAATCCCAGCAAATAATTTCTCCCCTTTTTGGATTTTTTAATATAAACTTTTTGGTAAGAATATCCTGTAATTATCATCCTCATAAATCATACCAGACATAGAAACGTTATAAGTTGGCATACAAAGTTAGGCCCAGCTGGTTAGCTGACCTAGTAGAGATTTTCTCGGCACAAAATCAACATGCCAGAAAAATTCCTAACCATAAAACCAATCTGCATTGTTGTCAGCCACAGTAACCAATAAAGGCACACTTTCAGAAAAGACTCTGACCACAAACATAAATTGGGTCTTTTATGATTCAAAGTTTTCTTTGGGGAGGTTCAAAATCCTTTAAGACACATAAGAGATTGGATTACTCTTACATAAAGGAATATATAAAAACTGATCATGCCCAGTCAGGCAAATTTTTTTTTGGACAAGATACCAAGACTTTATTAGAATAAAGTGAAACCCAACATCTTTGTCTAACAGGACAAGTGGTCCACAAGCAGAAACACAAGGTAGTCGTTCACCATATCCAATGGAAGTTGTCAAAGTAGTATCCAACACAAAACCAGTTCACCATATCCAATCAATATTGTATATTGTCATGCACCGCTTAGAATTCCTGATATGGGATTCTATATTATCAACGAACCCCCTCACATGTGGTGGGAGATGTGAAGCACAAGCAGGAATTGGACCTGACGTATGGATTTTCCATGAATATCATGTTAAAGTTAGAGTATCCAACCAAGTATCCAACCTAAAACCAATTGGAATTGAGCGGATAGTCCCAAAACATTGTGCAATATTCTCAATAAATGCCTTTGGCGTTGTATTCCTACAGTTTTCATTTTCTATGTAGGAACATAATATAAAGCTTTTGATTATTATCTGATGGAAAATATTTGAATAAAAATTGCAAACTTACCAATCAGCAAAATCACCCCAAAAAAATTCATATGTCTCTCTTCCTACATCTCCAAAGAAAAATTTGTCATAGCTTGCGGTGACTGTGTCAATAAGCAAATGAAGTTTTGAGATCTGAAAAAGGAAGAAAAGTGAGTGATTAAACAAAGAAGTAAAATCAACGGGCAATTCAAAAACTTAACATGACAATTATCTTACCACCCAACATTCTGGTAAAGGTAGCTTGTCCAAGAGCTCCACTTTGTCAAACTGAAAGAGCATGTCTTGATTTAAGAAGCAATACAAGTAATGATTATCATTCTATAATATTAGTGTAATAACAGCTAAAGTAGAATAAGATCAAAATTTCCAATACTTAATAGAGAAATACAAGATACAATGATGGGCCATGATCTGATATAGCACCAGGTAATTGCAATAATTTCCCATCTCATGGAACATGGAGAGATTGAGTGATTAAGACGTGTATGGAAAATCTATTTAGTTTCCATTCCATGAGACAACCAGCCAGTGTGCTATAGGCGTATTTAACACATTTTATAGAAACATCCAGAGAGTTAGAAAAGTGAAAAGATATTATGACTTAAAGAAAGATTATGGGGGCAGCAAGTGAGGTAACTTCTAAACAACTTGGAAGATAAGTAGTGTTCAGAAATAATTTCATGAATTTTCAATTATAAAATAGTTGCATCAAACACCAACAATACGCTTCTACCCATTTGCTTTGGTAATTGAGAATTCAGTAAATTCATTCAGACACTTTCAGACATGCTGTGCCACTGTTCAAATTATTTGCAGACAAGTTTGTAATACATAATGAGATTGGAGCTAACTTTAGCGATATCAGGTCAAGTTAAGTTCTTGTGGAAAGAGGAAGTTATAACTTTACCGATACATATATGAGATTGGGGCTAGTTTTGTGATACAGGAACTTTTCACCATAACAAGAAACTAATCACAGGTGGCGCATTTTCTCGTGAATCCTTAAAAAGAGAGAACATCCATTGCTAAGCAGGCAAAAGTATGCAATCTAAGTTTTCTGGTATGACTTGAGATTGAGTTCTGTTTTCATTTAGCCTCTCCCATCCATTCCTTAATCCATGTAGGAAATGATAAAAAGAAAGGAAAAAAAAGTTTCACCGTGAAAAACAAAGAATTGAGCATACCCACAAAGGCTGAAGTGTAATTTATCTCTTTCTAAGCAGAAGCAGTTTCAAGGAAATTGTTTTTAAGCTACTAGGGTGTAAGGAAAGCTTTTAGCTAATGCAAGAATACAGAAAGGAAAACTAACAAGAATTGCTCATTAAGGCTGCAGTACTTCAATCATTTGCTTTTTTCACTTTTGTTCAGCAAAACACGAGCAGGCACAGACATTCACAAATGAAGATTCACAAAAACCAAAAGTAAAATTTTCCACAAGCAAAGCATTAGCGAATAATTTTCACGATAACAGTACAAATTGAGAGAACAAAACAAACCTTATAAGAGAGTATATTTTCCCAAGCTGATGCATCATTTTGACTGGGTAAATTCTGCAATACAAACTTTCCAGCATTCCACAGTTTGTTAGTGAAGGCCTTATTTGACGTCAACCTCTCAGTGGATAAATTAAGGTCCTGAAAGAAAAGAATACCAAATCAGCCAGAAAGGCAATTGGTACAAGCTAAGAACCATTAACATGCAAAAGTGGAAGACTGCATACGTATATTTCTGGTCAGCAAGTGAAGTAAAATACAACAATGTCTGTATAAGTGACATGCAGAATTGACGCATAAGTGAAGTCAGAACAAAACAAACCTGACCAGCAGTCCCTAGAGCAATTGTAAATCTTAAAGCATCTGTGCCATATTCCTTGATTGTATCTAAAGGATCTATGACATTCCCCAATGTTTTAGACATCTTTCGACCCTGAAATAATAATTACACAAATTGTTTAATACATCAGAATATCAAAATTAACATAAAGAGTATACTACAAATGCATTAGAGAATTAATGCTGTAAACAACAAGGAACAAACAAGGTTGCAACAAAGAAACATTTGACCATCCACATTCTTTTTTGTTGTATACTATTTGCGTAACCAATTTACATGAATAGTATACAAATGTAAGTAACAAGTAAAACAAAGTACAAAAATAAAAGCTCAGACGACACTAAAACTAGTCATCCACATGGAAAGTAATCTTCACATATTAGCCTAAATATCAAACAAGTAACGCAACAGTCTGATAAAGTCTTTCCATACATGAGCACCGGATCACACAAGGAGAACAGCACTCCAAATTAATTGATTACTCTTTTAAACAAACTTCATGCAGACATGCCAAGACATTGCAAGAATAAATAAAAAAATTCCACAACTCCTATTCCATTAAAGAATGCAAGAAAAAGTGGTTTATAGATTGGTCCACCACTTGCAAAACATCATTTTGCATAAACACTCATTATTTAAGAATCAATCTTGCACGAATTGTGAAAACCAATTAGCGTCTTCTCAGAAATTTGGTCAGAGACAATCTGGAACATAGAAGAGTAAAAAAAAATCCGCAATCCAAAGGGGAAAACCCAACATATTGTGAAAATAATGTAACCAATAAATTAATAGCATTCAAATAATTAGGAACTTCATCAATAAAGAATTTGGAGGATCCTCACGGTAGGGACGCAAGGAAGTATGGGAATAAATAATTCTACACTCAAGAAACAACTAGTGGTTAAAAGGAAGAAATTAAATACAATATCAACATTGAAGTAGTAGTATTTATCATGCAATTTCTACTCACTTGTGAATCCCGGATGAGACCATGCAGATAAACATATTTAAATGGAACTGTCCCTGTAAACTCAATTCCCATCATGACCATCCTCGCAACCCAAAAGAACAGTATGTCATGCCTGTTCAAACATGCAAGCAACAATATAAACTTCAACAACTTTTCAAGTAAGCAAGTTTAATAGTAATAATAAAGTTAACAAACCTTCCAAACTTTTGCAATAACCTAACCATAATAAATCTACCACTGAAAATAAAAGGTGTTATTAAACTAATTATAATATTACCAAAAACAAATAAAATAAAAGGTGACATGGACACTATCTTATTACTAATAAAAATATAAATCATGACACTGACAACCAAATTTGCAGCACCCAAAAGCAGTTCCATTACCAAATGGTTCCTCAAAAACAGATTTAACTCCTATTCTGCGCCTAAGAAGGCTAATCGTGGCAGTGTAAATTATTTCATTGGTAATCAGAGAGAATATTTGTCAATTTTTTCCTAGGAGATGGATTAGCACGCCAAACTGCAATGCAAGGGAAAAACCCATTGCTCACACCCTGAGAATGGCATAGAAAAAGACTTTGCGGCAAACACTCCCATCTTGTTCAACCTCCACAACATCATATCAGTCCTCAATTCTCTCATTTAACAGCATAACAGCGTACAAATGGGAGAGACCTCATCATCCAGCCACCACATCATCGAGGGCAGAAGATGGTCAGACTTGGCAGGCAAAGGAAGGGCAGGTGAGAGAACTGTGGGAAAGCTAGTGTTAGACCAGCTGAGGAAGTAGTGATCTAGAAGCTAGGTACAGAAGGAGAGGTATTTGAAGGCTGAGAGGCAGGCAAAGTGGGGTTCTGTAGAAGGCCTGATATACTGCAGTTGAGAGAGAGGGAGAGAGAGAGAGATACAATGGACTACTTATTTGACCAAATTATGATAAAGTTGCAGCAAAAGATGAGAAAACAAGAAAAGATGGACATACCCTGTCTCAAGCATTGTAGTAGGATAAAACCGCTTAAAATCCTCGATTGACTCATCTGGCCACCCAAGAGTACTGAAAGGCCACAGTGCACTGTGAAAAGGGAAAGATTTATTTAGTCAAATTACATAGCATCTAAATAGGGCACGTTAAATCTCAAATCCTGAAAGTGTTGGCTGGAGTCCTCAAAGTTTAAGGTATATGATATAAACAGAAAATAGTAAAGTCCTTACCAAGGATGAAAATGTCAGTCTCCATGAAAATATTGGCAATTCGGATTTATGGAAATAAATGAAATTTGATTTCAAAGCAAGAAAATTTGTATGAAACATTAGGAAATGCTAAACCAATTAATAATCCATCGATTAAACATGTAAAATTCTATTACAAAATGGATGAAAATAGTGTGTGCCACTGCCATCAACACATACATGAACTTAACACTTGAATTCTATTGCAGAGAAGCTTCTTAATTTCATTGAGCATGATGGAGTATACGCATTCTAATGGATAAATTTGAAATATTCAGTTGTTGTCTTTGCTATTAAGATCAGGTCGAACTTATAACTCCATTAGTCCTGACTTTTTCCTACCTCCACTCACTACTTGGGCCAGCCCTAAAATCTAGTCCTAAAATCTTTTTATATTCTACATAGCACACAACATGATAATTTTTTCAGGACCTACTGAAAAATTCGACAGTTTTCATAATTGTAAAAGAATAAAGTGGGACCTTTCATAGTTTCTAGAAAATACATTTCAATAAGTGGCAATCTTGTGAACAACAGACCTTGAAAACCATGTGTCAAGAACATCCGGATCCTGATATATTTTTGTATCTCTTCCATACTTCTTTTGAGCTTTCCGAAGAGCTTCATCCTCACTCCTTGCAACAATATATTCTTCTTCACTGTCTTTACCCACAATGTACCAAACTGGTATTCGGTGTCCCCACCACAGTTGTCTGCTTATGCACCAATCCTTAATATTTGATAGCCAGTGATTATAGATCTGATATTTTTAAAAAGGCACAGGTGTGAGTAAAACAATCTAGCAAATCTTTCTGGGTAAGCCACTACCAATTACAAGTTAATGTGGTTAAAAATTCGTTGCATCAATGCCATAAAGTACTCAATTCGTGATGCAATAAAAAGAATTAGAGGTGGGAAACAAACCAGCACATGGCACATCACATATATCTGTACTCGTGCTGGGAATTGAATATCAGACCCATCGAGCATAGTACTAGTGACTTCCATCACATGCTTAATTGAACTATATGTTATTTAAGTTTTTCCACTGAAGAATACAAAATGTCAATTATGTCGCCCTTAAGTTCCTTAAGATTAATAATAAGATTTAAAAATTAAGGATAATTCAGTAAATTAACTCACTATTCATACCTATCTTCTCTCTCCCACAGACTAACTTTTCTCTTTCTACAGTAACAAATGAGGTCACATACTGCATACCTTTTCAAATCTTTCGGGTATGATTTTCAAATCTCCTTTTTCAACAGCACGAAGGGCTTTCTCAGCTAAGGGCTCCATCGTTACAAACCACTGCTTGCTTACTAGTGGCTCTATAACCTGATATCCAAAAGAAGGAAAACTATATATAATTAAGAACAAAATCTTCATAGAGAATTTATATTAATCTTTTCAGAATTTGGAAGTTGAAATACCAAATGTGAAAAACAATCAACTCACTTCTCCACCACGCTGAGATCTGGGAACTCGTAAAGTGTGTGGTTCTTTCTTTACAGCCAAACCAGTCTCCTCCAGATCTGCCCAAAGTTTCTTGCGGGCCTCAAACCGATCAAGGCCACTAACAGAATCATAGGTTTCATTACCAAATAAAAGATATAAGATTAAAAAAATTCTCCAGTGAATTCAAGTTCAACAATCTAAGAAAACTGAAACAGCATTTACCAGTACAGTCCGGCAACCTTGTTTAGAGTTGCATCCTTGTTCATGACATTAAGTATTGGAAGACCAAGCTTTCTTGCAAGATTGTAATCATTATGATCATGTCCAGGGCTTATCTTCAACACACCAGTGCCAAAGTCTTTATCAACATGCTGCCAGATGAAAAACAATTAAAGTTCCACATATCAAGTTGTTTACCTGGACTTGTATGAGAAGCAGGCAGTTAGTTAAAGGGTAATGATTCAACAAAAAGCAAAGTACAATTATCAACAAAAACAAATATGTATCTTCCATGGATGTTTTTTTTTTTTTAATTTTTCTGATTACAGATGATGGCTTATAAAATAAGTAAAGCAATATAGTCCAGGACTCCAGGCCATTGGCCCACCGTCTGCAGTATAATTTAATATGGCGTAATTTGCATAAAATACTTAATTCAGTTAGCAGATCAGATATAATTTTCCTAAGGGGAGATATGTTAATTTGAAGCACATAACATGGGGCAGAACAATATGTGGTGCCTACACAGCAGGCATTATGAAAGCCCTTCACACTCCAGTTCATGGGTGAGACAAAATTAGAGTACAGCAAGCTACAAACCCAAAACCTTGCCCGGAGTATAAAGCAAAAACATAGCAAGAGTAGAAATCAATCTTCATCTCCTTTAATCAAAACATTATTCCTTTTTACTTTTCATGCGCACAGGATTCTAATTAAAGGCAAACTCACTGCAACCACTTTATTGTTCTGCAAGGACATAACCACAAAAATTACTCGTGTTTCTTTTCCTTAGCAGGGAGAATATTGAAAGCTTATTCTGGCAACTTGAACTTTACAGCAAGTGAAAATACTGAAAATGTTCAGTATCAAGAAAAAAAAATGAGCACGCAATTGATATGGGAAACTACGAGGAGGTGAAGAAGTATTCAGGCACAAATAAGAAAAAAAAAACTAATAATCCATAGACCAGGTGAATGACCTGGGTAGAACCTTCGACATGATTCAGAAATTAACTTTAAATTCATCACTACTTTTCCTGAGTTCTAACCTTGCACTCGTTTTCTATCATATTTATTAATTAATGTAATGAAATGCACACAGATCCAGGCCCATTTAATGAGGCTTCTATTAATAAATTCACTCTATTAACTTTCTGCTTCTAAATGTCCCTAGACAATACTATTACAGCACAATATCTAGTCAGAGATCCCACATCAAGAGTAATTGGCATCATACTAACGATCAAATAAGAACATCAAATACAATGATGATATAGAAAAGTAGTCCGAGATACTTTACCTTGTCAGAGATGATAGGGACATGACGGCCATATGTCAAAGGAACTATAGCCATTCTATTAATATATTTAGAATATCGATCATCCTGCATGACATTGTCAAACATTGGATATTACCAAGAATAAATCAAAATCAAAATAAAATATTTCATTCAGACTAACAGCTATGATAGCAATTGGAGTTCAGAAACATGCAAGTTACTGTCCTTCGGCTAAAAAGAAAAGAAAGAAAAACTATGAAATGGGATAAGGAAAACTCCATTATTTCAAAGCATGGAAAAAGAACATAGCCAAATATTATAGAGACCAACATTGTTCAAGGGAATAACAGCCAAAATGATCCATAGAGGAGGCCCTATTCTTCTTTTCATAACTGGTGTATGTCGAACAAAGCAGCGAGTGAATCATCCAAACATATGTTCCAACATTGTCCTTTTGGGACACATATTTGGAGTAGGTTGCGCTTGCTTTCGACATAGAGGGCTCATTTGGTGCCTAGGATTGGATAACTCACTAGATTTAAGGTATGTTGAAGGAGGAAACTGGTTTGGAATTTAAATACTAAGCACTATTCATTAATGTAGCTCTTCACAATAAAGCCTAGGTTTGGAATTCATATAAAAGATTAGGTAAATAGATGTTGATCCCAAAAATCAAAAGTGATGTCTGAAGTTGTAAACCTATCACCAGTCTAAATTGCTTAAGCATTACTTACCACAAAAAATTGTCATCACCTGGTCGATCCAGAACTAAACTCCTACAGGATACCAGAAAAAGAAATTTAACCTACCTCAGGATGCACAGCAATAGCTACATCACCAAATAAAGTCTCCGGGCGTGTTGTTGCTATTGTCAGATAGTCAGACCTGAGTACAGGAAGGTACCAATCAGAGTGCATCATAGACACACACCACACACAGCAGCAGAATAAATGAACTTACACAACAAGCATGTTATTGTGGTCAACCGAGTTTATCAAAACCAAAATAAGTATTGGACTGATAAAAGAAATCAGAAGAATTAAGGGCTCCTAAAAATCTTCTAAAATCTTGTAAAGCACAATCATCTTTTTGTTCTTTTATTAGTTGGTTGTCAAATCACAAAATAAACTAGCAAGGTTTGATCTCTGAGAAGTCACAGTTATTGTGTCAATAAGTTTTCTTCTGTTGAGATATAAAGTTGTTGAGAAGATTAACATAAGATCTGAATACCTTATAAGTTATAACACTAGCAACCATATATGTACATAATATTTTGAATCAGCATACAGTAATAGTACAAGGGAAAGCATGTGCTTCTAAATTCTAGTAGACTGAAAGATTAAGAACACATTTCATAAGGGGATCAGAAATGGTAAGCTGGGAATTACTTTGAGCCTCCAGCTACACGATACTTAATATAATAGAGAGTACCAGATTCTTCATGATATTCTACTTCCTGATCAAAAATATCAAAGAACCACGTCAAATATTGCATTTTAAAGCATAAGCTGTATCAAGATTAAAGAGTAACGTCTACATGAAACCAGAAGTAACTTACCAAGTCAGAAACAGCAGTCTGTAGACTAGGAGACCAGTTCACCATGTAAGACCCTTGAGGGAAAAAACAAAACACAGTTTTACTTGGCTGCTAGTCACACTTGCTTGTCAATGATAAAGCTACAGGTGACTCTCAACAATCAACTCAAAACATAGAGGGAAAATTTCAGGAAAGAAACAAAAAGTACAAAAATAAGCTGAACATCACTTTAACTGTTATTACTAGAGAAATGCTTGATTCTGTCACCGTAGCAACATAACTGTTGTAGACAGAAGAAAGCTAGTTCTTTACATCTTTACTTTAGCTAAATCCTATTGTTCAGAAGAAAAAACTGCCAAGTTGTTCATAAGTTCATAACTGAAGACTTCAATACACAATATTTGAACAGAAATTCTGACTTACCAGTCGTCTCGGATTAATATGTAAATCCTCAATTAATGCAATCCTCTCAAATTTTCGTAAACACAAAAACCTATCCAACACTACACTAGTAGTATATTTGCAGTACAAAGATGTCACCATATATTTCCTAAAATGGTCACCCCACATAGAATTAAAGAAAAAGGACCATTTAACAGCAAAACTCAACTAAATATATAGCAACTTATGGTAGACAACCAGCCATCCCCCACACGTTATGATAGCTTAAAGTGAAGGCCTTCAAATAATAACAATAGTTGTCACAAACTAAAGTGCATAATAACAAAAACTATAGACTAAGGGATTCAGTAGCAAAACAAACCCACCTACTAAACTCCATTAAAAAAGGACCAGGTCACAACAAAGCTCTTCAGGAGCTAGGATTATGGAGCAACTTTAAGAGGAACTCGGGGATATACCTTGATAGATTAAGCCTTTCTCATGAAGTCTGACAAAGGCCTCAATGACAGCTTCTGCAAGGAGTAAAAGGATATGAGCCTTGACCGAATAAGCCTTTTCTTTTCATATAAAGTTTCAATCTTTTCGGAGAAAATAATAAAAGACAATACAAATATTTACTAGCTTATTACAACATTAGCAACCTTTAAAGTTTAACTACCCCTTTACTTAGTCTTTACCAAGGATTTGAAAAGTGTTTTTGAGGTGTGCCTTGTGGCAGTGTGTTAAGGCGAGGCACCGGCAAGGGGTAGAGTGGTTTAGCAGATTGCACAGAAGGTGTATGTGTCCAGCACGAGGCAGTGCAAGGTGTACAGCTTTGCAACTGAAGTGACACCATGGGAGCTGAAGAATACCTCCCGAAAAAGATGAATCCTGCATGCCCTAACTCTTGCTTTCAAGACAAACGAGGGCATCTGTTCAAGTTGTCTTTTTTCCCCTTTAAACAAAACTCACCATTTCACTAAAGGCTCATAGATTTTAAAGAACACTGTAGTTTAAGTTCATGAAGACCTCTATTTCTCACTTTCCATCTCCTTTATTGCTGGCTCTACGATAACTCAGCTTCTAATACTTCTTATACAATTTTATCATTTTCATATTATTTTAATAAAAGTATACATAATTCATGTTCAAAAGGCTTACGCCTCGCCTTTTAAAACATTGGTCCCTATGAACAAACATACGTTTGCATACTTCCCTAGATAATTCATTGATTACCCTATTCCGTAGTTACTACTCATAGGAACTAGACTTTTCCGACTCGTTGACTAATTCTGAAACACTTCCCTAGGCATCATTAAATCTTTTGTTCTGCATGACATACACCCCACCCCAATGACAGTGTTGTAAACTATCTCATACATTCTTTCTTGATTGACTAGAGTTCAACCAGATAGAAAAATGCCTTACGACTTAGCTGTTCATCGAGGGTGAAATGCTCTCTATTCCAATCACAAGAAGCGCCAAGTCTTTTGATCTGATTTGTAATGGTTCCACCATACCTGATATAAAAAATAAATAATCTGTTAAGAAATAACAAGTATAATTGGAAATAACAATTTTCAGTTAAACATAAATAAAAGCAGTTCACCTTTTTTCTGGAAATTATATGTAGTATAGTAGATTAGTAAATTGCAAATCTACGCCTATATGGTTCTGTAAATGTCTGAATATACAAGGGAGGATTCAGAACAACAGAATCATAACTGCTACAAGATTTTGATTCAAGGTAATTCTTCAAAAACAGACATGCCTTTTGCATGAATGACTGATTTAAGGTACTTTTTGGTAAAATCTTTAACTGTAAATAATCTTCAGAAGCAGAATATCATGATCATGATCATGATCATTGATTCATGCTGCATGTATAAATAGTAAGAGTAAGGTGATCATTCTTTTTCTACATTGCTCAGTTGTGATGGTGGTATTTTGAAGAGAAACGGCAATTTATTAATGTATAAAAGCTAATCACAAAGAGTGGATGAGGAATCCACAATTTGAAGAGAGAAGAGAAAATACAATAAAAGACCACTCAAACAAATATGGAAGTTTGTATTTGCACTGGCTAGCATGGGGTGCATTTACCATAGGATTTCTGAATTACATCAAGAAAATGCATTTTCCAGTATCTTCTTCTCGTCTAGTGGGTCCTTCTGCCAGTCAAGGTTAATTTACCCTTAATTCTCATCAGTTTTCAGCCCTACCTGAATTCAGTCCTTCGAGATTTTTCCTTTTATCTATCAATATAATCAGGGTCGTAAACAACTAGAAAGCGTTTCTATTTATTTCTGATTCTCTGCCAGTCAATGAAGTCATAAACAATTTAGAGTCGAAACAAAGTGTTTTAATCTTTCAAAAGAAAGTATACATTAGCATCCAGAGATTTCCGTTTCATTCAAGAAAACACAATCTTTGTTAGGGAACTTGGCTAAAGGGTATGATAAAGGAAGTGATGAGAGCAGCCTGATAAACACTGTAAATTCAGTGTCTTAATATCTTTATATTTTCTTAAAAGGACCATTTTTTGTCCCACCTAATGTTAACTTGTGAAATGAGACTTCCATACGATCCTAGCTTGCTTTCAGCATTTTTCATGATGTGCCCACTCTCCAAAAAGTCATCTTTAAAATAAAGAAATAACTAGATATTTAGAAGAGATGATGCATAAAACTGCAAGAGAAAACTAATAAGTTCAGGAGATGTGCCATAGACGAAAGTATCTATTTATCAGTGACTCAGTGTACTAGGGCCATCTCAAAAACATCCAGGTCAAAATATGGTTTTCAACCAAAATTGCTTTATAAAGGGCATAACAACTGGTACAAAGAATTCAATGTGTTGCAACAAGGAAACAACAATTTTTCTTTCATGATGTAAAAAATATGAATATGCACAAGTTAATGACAATACAACTCATAATCGAAGAAGGTAGAAAGGATAAACAATGTAAGATAGATAAGCATATATACTTCTCTTTCCACTCCCAAACTCGATTCACAAACTCATCTCGACCCAATTCAACCCTTTTAATTCCTTCAGATGCAAGCATTTTTTCTACAACCAGCTGGTAGGAAAAGAGTAATGGTAGTATGAGCAACAAAAAAAAATCAAACTAAGATATGCAAGTTACAATTTTAGTACTAAGTCATACCAAAAGTACAAAGTAAGACAAAATCGAAGCCAATGAACAAATACAGAATTGACATAGAAAGTTATCATTAAGAAAATCAAATCCCAATCATAAACTCAAAAAAAAAAAAAAAAAAAAAAAGGAATCAGATCAAAGCCGTTTCAACTCTTCAAGAATTACAAAGGAAGTTGTAATAATGAAAGCAGTTGTAGAACACCGAAAATTGGAAATGAAGATGGTGCGAGGCATAGCAATAAAAATGTGAATCAGTGGAAACACTTGTCTACAGAGACAAACCTGAGTTGCTATACCAGCATGATCAGTCCCAGGAAGCCAAAGCGTGGGTCTTCCCTTCATACGATGGTATCTAACCATAATGTCCTACAGCAGTAATTAATGAAAAATGAATAGAAGAAATAAGCAGCAGTTGAGTTACAGTTTAGGTCCGGGTTCATCAACAAAACAAAAAATTTCGTATGATAAAATGCCAATGCATAAGAACACCTTTCACAACCTCAAGAGTCACAAACATCGCATGTCCCATGTGCAGGGAACCAGTAACATTTGGAGGCGGCATTGAAATCACAAAAGGATCACTTCCTCGGTCAAGGTTTGGCCTAAAATACCCTTGAGACTCCCACCTAACAATCACATGAGTTCATAAATAATATGCAATGATTTTTACATAACAAATAGATAGCAAGCACTACTTGATCAAATCTGCAAACTGACATGTGAAAATGCAGGAAAAATAAGAATTAAGAACACGTGCATGAAGCAATACAATTTTTTTTTTTTTTCTTTTTGGTTGAGATTAGAATGTGTATTTCGTCAGGAATTATTAAAAAGAACCACAAACACTAAATTTAATACGTGCAGATGCAAATACCATTTTGTATAGGCCAAGCATGAAAGTGAAATTTTTATCACCAAGGGACTTAATCTTTAGTTCTAGTGTGGAACAATAATCTAAACAAATTATAACTAGGAACATACTAAAAGGTAATTACCAAGAAAAAGGTGATTCTCTCTTAATTGAGCCACAAGAGACCCATATACTCTGGTCACATGGTTTGTGGATTTTCACAGGAATCAAACATTCAATAATAAGCTCTAATCATGATTACACTGCCAGAGAGATTTGTACACACTGATATGGCATCAATAAGGGGCATGTGGAGTTAAAAAGTGTAGATTGGAAAACTAGCCATTTGTTTTATACACCGAAGTACACAAAAGAAAAAACAATCAAAATAATTGACATAAACTTTGAACCTTCGTAAGTCTCAGGACCAGCCCTGCATAATGCACTTCAAAGCATTACTAGAAAACTTGAAAACTATCCACTGAAAGTGCAGACAAGAGACCTTGTTTTTAGGGGATACTTCTTTTTCTTTAAGCCTTGGTTTAGGGAAGCTTCAATATGGAAAGAGTTGGAAAAAGATGTCTGGTGCACTGCACTAGTATCACCTCAAGAAAGATTGGTAATGTGATCACTTCACGAAAGATGACAAATGTGGACTCCAACCCAAATATTATCCCAGAAACAAAATTCGATAATGACTGAATAGAAGTAAAAATTTTCCTCAAAAACACTCCAGTTCAACAAATGGGAAAACTCATCTCTGATCCCACCAACAAAAAACTTCAGTTTCAAATTTGTAGATCATTTTTCACATGAATGGAATTTACGAAATAAGGAGTACATTACCATAGTATTCTTCCAGAATAATTTTATTGGATTAGAGGAAGTCAAAAACCAAAAGATATTTTGAAATATTATCTAAATTCTCAGGGGGGCTGATAAATTTTTTGGTTTTAGGATAAGAAACAAAATAAGTTTATTACTACGAACAAAGAAGCAATACAACAGCAGAGAAGCAGCAGTCCATCAAACATTTACAGTAGAACGATAGCATTGTATCAGATAAACATAATAATGGTTAAGGGCTCTGTCCAGAATAATGTACCAATTGTATATCCCTTCTTCTGAAGTAAAATCAAAGGTCTTTGCAATCTCTGGAGAAGTGAACACGCCATTCTCGGAGGCGGCAACTGAAACATAACAAGAAATGATAAATGCATGCACCACCCTCATCACAATGTGACCTTAACTGCGACTAGAATGGTTTTGAAAAATTGGAAGTGAAATAAAACAGAAAATTTTATAAACCCGACTAGAATGAATAAACTTTAATTAATTCAAATATGTTAATGTTCACTTATTTGATTATTAAGTTCAATTCTCAATACTTTCCAATTGATACATGAAAGCGAAGTTATTTCTGAGTTTTCTCAGCAACCAAACAAAGACTTGGAAGAAGAAGAGAATAATCACCTGCGAAGAGCCTAGGCCTTAGACGATTGAAATGCCAGTAGGAGAGACTACTGCGACGACGTCGTTTGGAGAAGAGAAAAGGATGGAGCCTGTGAGCGGAGCACGACGACCAGAGAGAGTGGCCAGGGAAGGTCGTTTGGAGAATCATCGTTTTGATAGAAACTCTTTTGAGGTCGACAATTCCAGTGAGTGACTGATGATAAGCATAAACCCTGCTAGGACTTTAGCTACGAAGAAGAAGAAGAAGGGTATTAGTGGCAGAGAAACAGCAGAGCTAGTGGATTACGAATACTTATTTCGGATGTGGTCCTTAAGGATTTTTATTTTTATTTTTATTTTTTTTCTAAAAGCCAAATTACAATCTTCTTGGTAATTTAGGTAGTATTTAAAAACTCATTTTATGTGAAATATTATACAAAAATTCATATAGAGCCTATTTAAAGAGAAAAACTTAAAACTAGTCACTTGTCATTTTTTAATTGATTTTTGTACATTATGTCATGCTTAAATGGGTTTATTAGTGACATCTTTTTTTTACCTAAAGTTTCATTATGTTTTCCATTTGTGTACCCATCTTCTCGTTTCAAAAGGTCAATTTTGAATTTGTTTGTTTTTGCTTAACGTGAGCTTGGAGTTTTCAATGTATATTTCAATCTTGATCAAGGTTTTAAATATCAAGAGTTGTAAAAATATCGGTGGTCCAAAAATACGAAAATATCGATAGTATTTGAAAAGTATCGATATTGATAAAAATTAAATGAAAGAAAATGAAACACACCTTAATAATTTATTTTGATTTTTTTTACTACAATATTTTAAACTTTATATATTGTATGGTACGATACATGAGTAAATTAATATCACATAGAATTCTTATGAGGTTCAAACTTTTCACGTCCTTCACTAGAAATGGTAGACATTTTTATATTTATCATCAATTGAAAAATAACGAATGATGTAAACCAATTTTATTTGTCATAAAAATTAGATACTTTATCATGCTTAAAAAATAATAGTGAAGGTTAAAGATTAACCAAGAACATAAATAAAATTGTCTAGGGAAGAATTAAATAGGAAATAAAGAAAATAATTATATAGATTTAAATAATTAAGCAACAATTTAAAAGGGAATTAAGTGATGGAAGCAACTATGATGAATAATAAAATAATCAATAACACCAAATGGATTAAATAGAAAAGAAATAAATTATCTTAAGAAATTAAGTATTTGATTAATAATATAAAATAATAAGTAATTATTTTAATTTCTAGTTTGAGAAACAGCTCAAAAGAATGTTATAAATACAAAATCTGTTAATCACAATTTAAGACATTTTTGATACCACGAAAAAATCGATGAAATTTTCAAAAAGATGACGATAAATGGATGGATATGTGTTAAAATATTGATGCAAAAAAAAAACGATTATTTTGCCGAAATTATTGATATTTCATTCCTTCATCTTGATTTTTATAATCATATCATAAACTAATTAAGCTTTGAAATTTCTCATAGTTTGATCTTGAAAACTAATATACGATTAAAGCTCATAATAAAACAAGTTATTTGAATCAATTTAAAGAATTTCAAAGAATAATTTAAAGATATCATTTACAATCAAAGAAAATCAAGAGAGAAAACCAGCACTGCATCCGCTAAAGGCTTATCCCTTCTCATCTTTTCAAATTTTCGTCGAATACAATAAGTTGGTTTATAAGAGAATAAAAGCACAAAAGCATCATCATATCATCCATTCGTCCTAGACTGTGTTGTTGTGTAAGAAATCAATGAATAAAGAACGAAATTCTCAATTGGTTTTCCCCACAAAAGAACTCATGCCAAATGTGGAGAGTCACGAATTAAAGGCTTTTTGTTATAAGCTAGAAGCAGAGTTCGCCTACCTTCCAAAATCTAATGGCTAGTTTGGCATTGCTGTGCTTTAAAAAAAAACTGATTCTGCTGTGTTGCAAGAATAATCAACTATGAAAAAAAATATGTTAGACATTTGGTAAACTATATTTGAAAAAGTGTTATAAGTAATCAAAATGTTTGGTAAACTTTTATACAGAAGCACTTTGGGTATGTATAATGACCAAAAAAGCCATGAGATGTAAAAATTAGTTGAAAATGAGCCATTAAATGTTAATAAATAAATAAACTTAATAATAAATTGAAAATAATATTTTTTAAATTTTTTAAATAGTTTTAAAACAAATAGAAGTCTCTACCAAAAAAAACAAAACTCTCAGCAGCACAGCAGCCCCTCCCATCTTTTCTTCGCAACCTTTTTCCCATCACCACCACAAACTTTCACCCACCCTCCCTCCTCTCCTTCCCTGTTAGGAACCAATCCCCAAGCCGCAAACAATCGCCAGGCCCCTCCAACAACCCCACCCGACCCACCCCAATACCATATCACCACACCCAACCCCTTCCCCCACTCCAGCCTTACATAACAAACCTCACCCAACCACCACCTCTCTCTCTCTCTCTCTCTCTCTCTCTCTCTCTATCTCTCTCCACTCAAGCCTCCACCGTCTCTCTATTTGATCCCCCACGCCGCCCAAATCCACCAAGCCATACCCACTGCCCGAATACAAATCTTAGGGTTTTTTCTCTATTTTTATTCAATTTAATGAAATTTATGAATCTAACACATGAATTTCAATTTAATTCAGACTGATTGTTGGTGAAATTGCAGCGGCTATTATGGCTCGCAATAACTGGCCCAACTTGCAGTGAAAAGAAGGAAGAAGAAGAGTGTGATGCGTGTAGAGAAAAGCCGAAACCCATTTTGGAATGGGAGGGATATGGGTTGTCATTTTGGAAAAGTAGTAAGGGCGTTATGGGAAAAATGAAAAAAAAATCATTAAAAGGAAGCGGCTGGTTTTTTTTTCAAAACAACTTGATTTCTTTCACCAAACATTTTCAGTTGCAAAAATTATTTTTAAAGCCGCTTATTTTTTAAGCACCGCACTCCCAAACGTTACCTAAGTCTCTCTATGTCTCCTCACTCTCCCTCTCCCTCCCCCAACTAAGTCTCTCTCTCTCTCTCTCTCTCTCTCTCCCCTAAACCTTAAACCCTCTCACACTCTCCCTAAGAATACAAAATGAGGAAGCTTCCCTTCATTCTTCATGTGTCCATAACTTCATCATGCTCTTTGTACTTACCACATCTGTCTACGCTCTTAATCACAACATCCTCATCATCCACATAGCGGCTACAAAGAACAAACTAAAAATCAAATCGAGTCAGTTTACATTCTTAACTAATGTTTTCAATTCACATGACGAATCTCTAACCTAATATGAAGTATTCAATCTTACAAACACCACCATACCTAAAGACATAAGCATGCATTGGTGCAATCACTCATGTGTCAAGTACATGCTCAGCTATTGGGTTTTAAAAATAAAAACAATTATGGCTAACCGGGAGTTAGAGGCATCTGGTTAAAACAATAAGCAAAAAGAATCAGACGCTTATCCAATTCAACCTCACCCATGAACATATATCGTCTTGAATCTCTTTTAACGGGCGAGGATAAGCCATTAGCACTAGTTATGTAGGGATCACGGGGATTACTAGACAACTCAACAAACCATTTAGCATTACAAGTTATATGATCCGAAGCACCAGTGTCAATTATCCATGTATTGGAAACAGTACCTGGAATAGTCTAAGAAGCACATAAGTTTGCAGATGGCGCATGGGAATTTGTCTCTCCTTGGGCTGTAGTGCAAGCAACCTTGGGGCCACGCATACTAACTTTGTAGTCAATAAACCAATCGGGATAACCATGCTTCTTAGAATATTTCTCGGAGCAATGATCACCACCATAAAGATGGATATGTAGAAAGAAATGTGTGTAGATATTCGGGTAGTGTGAAAGCTACCATAAACATGGATATGTAATCGTCTATGCTTTATGGCGAGGGCTACCTCTCGTATAGTGTGAAAGCTACTACATGACTTATGCATAAACTCTTTTTTCTTCTTAAAAAAAAATGGGGAAAATAAGGGGGCAGGACACGACTCTTCTATATTCCTTTAAGGGGATTTGATACTTAAGGGGAATCTTATCATTATTATGCAGTCTGCTATATGTGAAACTTAAGAACTTTCTATGCACACATAGTTGGAGAAAACTTTCTATCATCTCTTAAGTTGAAGTTTCTTTGGATTGATCTCAAGCATTTCGTGCTCATCATTCACCTAATTGTTTTTATATCAATTTTAATTTACCTACTTTTGATACAACACATGGTGCCTCTTTATCATCTGCTTTTGCTGCTGGTACTTCAAACACCGAAGGTAAGGACTTAGGTGAAACACCCTCGGTGGTTGGTGCTGCTGCCTACGGCGGGAGTATTTGGGAAGATGGACAGCAGCCTGACTTTCACCTATTCAAGGAGAAAGATATCTCAAAAACAGTTGTCCATTTCAAATTAAAACTACTAGTTTTGAATCATGAGAAGACTAAAGAGTTATTAAAATTTAAAATTCATGAGCATATGAACAATGATGTAGAGCTACTGGGGCTTTTCAACCGACATACTAACCTTGCACCTTTGGATAATGATCTTATTAATGAGCTACCCATCAAGGTTACAATTCTAGAGAAGGTACACTCAAAGTTTGAAGAGGCTTTTCAACAATGGGAGGTATGTATTAATTATATACCTTAATTTTTGAACTATAGCTCCTTATTTATTACCTCCAACCTGTTCATTTTAATTTGCATTGGTTGGTTTAATCACACATCAGTTTAATTGAATCATTATGTTATATATATATATTAAGGTATTGGTGGTTCTTTGTATTCGGCAATTAGGAGTGTTTGCCTGGACAAACCGTCAGCAAACACGTGCCTACCCATTTTCAATCGATAAGTCTTTGGTCATACCTTTTTGTTGTGTTGATTTTGGTGCTTGCATGTGCTTGTTATATGAATTGTCATGATGTCGAAGCAGTAAAATTGAACTAATCGTATATTTTTTTTTTGTGTAGGTTCTGTGAAGTGTTGACTATCGAATTAGAGGGAGGAAGAGATAGAGTTGGTGAGGATACTGGTTTAAGCAGAAAGGCGAGAGTTCATGACTTTGTTGATGCCAAATCTCTTGCTTGAATTGGGGTTGCTGCAGGAAGTAAGTTGTGTTTGTTCGGTGTCTTTGTTTGGTACATATATATTGTTGACTAACTTCTTGTTTGTCGGTATGGCAGCGGCAAGGATTCCGAAA